TTCTGGTGGTTCCATTTCCTAACGATACGTGAATGGTTCTTAAATCGTCATCAACGTGTTGAATGCCTTTATATTGGATTTCAAAGATTTAGTCCGAGCATTTTTATCGGATGGATCTCTGCACCAGCTCCCACGAGGAACGCTTGTTGCATGTGCCCGGTCTCACCATCCGATCATAAAATTCCGAGTCAGCAGCAGAATTTTGCGATGAAAGCTGCTGTGCTTAGCAAGGTCCACCCTGTTCTTTGGCGAAAACTGATCTTTAAGGCGGCCGCTGCCAATGACTGTTAGTCTTCTTAGTCAGGTATGAGTAGCAAGCTCTTAAAACGACTCGAACTCAACCAGCCAAGTGCGGGTGAATTGGAAGGTGGACGTTGTAATCAGCTGACCTATCGAAACGAACGAATAATGACCTGGATAAATGAAACTGAAAATTTTGTGTCCAGGGAAAAGTTTAAGAAAGTGTGCTTGAGGCATTTAGGAATGCGCATTTTCAAACACGAGGTAATATATTGCAGTTTTCGTTCTTGTGAAAAGGGCGTAATGCTGTTCCAAACAATGCTCTACAGCAAAACGGTTCCATGTCGAATTTCCACAACACTGCTGCAGATAAAACATTTGTGCAACATTATTGCTTCACAACAGAACTTCTGCGGACAAATCGCCCGCGACAGTACACCTACATCCAAAATTTCTTCACACGAGACAGCTAGGAATTACATAGCGCGGAAACGTACTAGACTGCACATGACACCTAACATACATATATAATATTAACGGCTGATTGTCTGTCTATGCCATCAGCACCTCTACACGACGCGACTGCCACATACGAAGTTCTCCGCTCTGTTACTGTTGCATGGCAAGGCCGTTGCGAACAAAACTTCTTTTAGACGTTATCTCTACGGAAAATCTTTCAGGTTTAAAAGCTGTTCGCGGAAAAAGCTAGACAGAAGCATTCCTATGAGATTGCCACCTTAAAATTTTTACGTAGCATGACGGATTGTCGATTTTGCTAGGGTCGAAATTTCCGCACGACATACGTTGCGGTCAGAAGTTCCACATGATAGAATATACGTACGCAAATCTCTTGCATGGCACAAACTCCTGTCATCCCACTTAGTCTGAAACCTTGAACTAACCAATCCTGACCGAACCAAACTGAACCGAACCGAAACGAAGAGAGCCGAACCGCACTCAGGTCGCTCTGACCTAGCTAAACCTAACGTTGATGCCAAACCTTCTGGCACGTCGTTTTACTATAACCATTAAAATCAGACGCTCGTAAAGCATTTTTGCACTCAGAGGTACGCTTTCCAGTGATCTCTGACAGGCGCCCTCTTGTGTCCGTCCAAGAACTAAGAGTTCTGAATAGTCACAAGATTCTTCTTGTTTATTCTTGGGGCATTCTGGTGGTAAGTTTCAGTGTATTGTAGTAAGCAGCGTAAAACTGGGTGCCTTTCGGACCTCTTCATCATGTCTTTCCTATGACCGAGGCTGCATTAACCCAACTGACGGGGCACTGTTTCGTGACCTCTCTCATACGTCCAGTGTATGGCCCTGGTTGGATCAGTACTCGATCGAACTGAATTGAATTGAATTAAATTAAATTTTATAAAAAATGGCCCGTAACGGATTCTGCCCCGATGTTTCACACAAAGTAGTGAAGTCGCTCAACGTAGAACGATTTTCTCCATGTATTGTCATGTAAGCATTTGACTAAACACGAACAAACGCCACCACTGGGTCTGGCCAGGGGTCTCCTGTTATACGCTAACTGCAGGAGAAACACCGTCTCTCAGCGCCATGAAACGCCTCCGTGAGATGGAAAATTCCCTACGTCAAGACGACTTTCAAAGAAGAAAACGAGGTACATCTTATAAGTCTTGCTGACAACTTCGAATTCCAGTGATAGAAAGAAAGCTTTTCCGTCTCAGCCTTGCACTTAGCCATCTCAGCAGCAATAAGCGTAAATAGAAACTGTATCTTTCTAGTATGTAAGACGGCTCCTGACTTCTGCGAGTCTGCGAACAGCTGTCATGCGCCCGCCCCTGGTTAAAATGCATAACTACAACGAGGTTGAGCCCTGGGTTGGCGGGGAGAATCCAGGTGGATGTTGGCAGTCATCGGTTGCCGAAAATCTCTTCGTCTTAAGGCTTCATATCAAAGAATGTTTGCAACGATTTGTTTCAAATAAAAATCACACCGTTATGCAGCATCCTATGAAAGAAATCAGGGCGTGATGTACAAGTGATAAACGTGGGATATAAATGCATGTCCTCTAACGCACAATGGCTGGGACCTTTTTTGCCTAGGTCTGGTACATCTATTTTCTAGAAGACGTTAGAATTGAGAAGTACAGAACTACGGACACTCAAAGCACTGGCACTGAACTATACGATTTTATGAATTATTTCCGTACACTATTTTCTAGTTTATGTGATTTCAAGGAAAATATTAACAGTTAAAGCCACGGTCAACATATTTTTTCCACTGGCAGTCCGAAAAGAAGACAAATTTGAGATAAGTGCACTTTCTCTTAAAAGATTTGATGTGTTCTGCCCCCAGTCAAATTTTCTTAGATGGGGTCCTGATCCCTCGTGCGCTCCACAGATCTGTGCGCTCCATAGCAGGACTGGTGGCGGCTTCTGCTGCGTCAATTTGCGCGGCACGTGATCTGTCCGTTTCACAGCAGGACTGGTGGCGGCTTCTGCTGCGTCAGTTAGCGCATTACGTGATCTGTCCGCACCACAGCAGGACTGGTGGCGGCTTCTGCTGCGTCAGCTAGCTCGTCACGTGATCTGTCCGCTCCACAGCAGGACTGGTGGCGGCTTCTGCTGCGTCGGTTAGCTCGTCACGTGATCTGTGCGCTCCACAGCAGGACTGGTGGCGTCTTCTGCTGCGTCAGTTAGCGCGTCACGTGATCTGTCCGCTCCACAGCAGGACTGGTGGCGGCTTCTGCTGCGTCAGCTAGCTCGTCACGTGATCTGTCCGCTCCACAGCAGGACTGGTGGCGGCTTCTGCTGCGTCAGTTAGGGCATCACGTGACCGGATCGCCGGTGGGCATCACGTGATCAGTCCGCCGATGGTGGTGGAGCTCCTTCATGGTGACGATAGACCATGCATTGTCACCGCTTCGATGCTGTTCAAGTCAAATGGATTCATGATGACATGATGACATAATCAATGGAAATGACATGGATTATGAAGAAAATATTGTACGTTATCCAATTTTGACTAAAGTTCTCGCAACATCTGATGTAGTCTACCACGGTGACTGAAAAGGTGTTATGTTCAACTAATACTGCATCCGCCTATCAATACCGGGACAAGGGGTGTGAAGCGGACAGGTGACATAACCTCACATCAACGAACCCTCTCCCATGTGACTTAACCTATATATCGGCCCACTCTAGCTCATGCTGGCCTGACCTGACCATGTTTAGTCTCGCCTAGCCTGGCCTCACCAGACCTTACCTCAATCCAAACTCACCTCGCCTCTGATCACCGCACCTGAGCTAACCTCAACCTCACAATCTCACCATCTCAACCGTCTCAGCCTCACGTAACCATCTCACCATGGGCCACATTCCATGAGGCTTCACAAGACTTCAGCACGATATTGCTCCTAAACGGTAAAAAGGTACCTTTTAGCTTACAAGGGCTTCGCGCGGGATTCAGACTTCTGACAAAATCAGCATGAAAATCAGCGGCAGCAGCAAAATCTGACAATCAGCATACGTCCTACATGACAGCACCTACAGGTACAAAAATTATGAACAGCTCGACTGCTACAGAAAAAAATGTGAGCGATACTACCGGCACACATCAAAACCACCCTGGGCAAAAAATCGTCACGGACAAAACTTAAACTGTTATGGTAGCAGAGACGCCTTGCCAATAGTGCCAAAATTACGAAAAGTCCTTCTTGCACTTGCTGCAATGATTCTAGGTTCCCAAAATGGTGCAAGTTTTGCCCATGGATTTTTTCCACAGTGGTTGTGATGTCTAGTGCCAGTGTTGAGTATATTTTTTTCATAGAAGTTGAGGTGTAAATAGATTTTGCCCGTGGAAGTTTTGTCCCGTAGGAGACTTGAACGCGTGAACTTTCTCAGCAGCAGGTATTAAATGCAAAGCTTTTCCCCGTAGCCCTTTTGTCGTTCAGGTGGAATTACGCGTATACGTCTCACGAGTAGAAGTTCTATCTTGCACGAGCGTGGTCGGTGGAAGTTTTGCCTCGAAAAAGTGAAGACTTGTGACGCCCGCCGTGGCGCCCGCCAGAAAAAGTGAAGACTTGTGACGCCCGCTGTGGCGCCCGCCAGAAAAAGTGAAGACTTATGACGCCCGCCGTGGCGCCCGCCAGAAAAAGTGAAGACTTGTGACGCCCGCCGTGGCGCCCGCCAGAAAAAGTAGTCTTTTCCGCAAAAGTAATGCTGCGTGCAAGCTTTGTCTGTAGCAGTTTAGACGTCTAGGTGCAACGCGGCGTGGGATTTTTGCATGCCCAAATTTTATGGTGTGGACTTGATGTCGTGCTAGCTTTGCCGTTTGGTATTTTATGCAGCTGCGATCGTACTGCGGCAGGCCACCACTAAATTAGCATGGCTTTTGTCCTTGCACGCTTGCGCTCTGTGATATAAGCAAAGTGTTTTTCTGAAACGCGGATCGTCTCTTATTCATGTGACGTCAAAAGAGCAGCCGCCTAACGGACCACTCACGGTCACCCGTCCTTCAGATGATTTGTTCATCCCCCAGCTGAGCAAACGATGAGTGGCTGCTCACCTCCGCGTGATCTAACCGATCACCCATCGATCCTGTCTGACCGATCGTCGGGTAACGGTACCCGCCCGCCCCCCCCCCCCCCCCCCGGTGTTGCGGGGGGGGGGGGGGAGCGGCCAGTGCATAAAGCCGGCGTCGGCGGCCGACTGGGCGCAGTTCGGGTGTTCAGAGCCCCGAGTCGGCCGCACCAGCCGGGCCGCCCAGCCGCAGCAGCTGCACGCAGCAGACATCCGGCGGGGCAGACAGCGGCAGACAGCAGCGGGCGACGCCGGACAGCGACAGCCAGCAGCACCATGCCCACCATGGAGGAGAAGGCGGCCGAGGCGCGCGGGACGGCGCCCACCTTCGAGACGCTGCTGCAGGGCGTGGGCCCGTTCGGCCTCTACCAGAAGGTGATGTGCGTGGCGCTGATCGGAGGATCAACGCTGGTATGCGCGCTGACCTACTACACCCAGGTGCTGCTGATGCTGACCCCGCCGGCCACCTGCAATGACCCCCAGCCTGGCCCCGGCTACCGGCCGCCACAGCTGATGGCGGACGGCGTCAGCTCGGCCAACGTGACCAGCAACGACACCGGCAGCGTCTTCAGCGGCGGAGACAGCAACAGCAGCAGCCGGGTGGTCGGGGGCAGCACCGGCGGCGCCCGCTGCGGCAACTGGAGCTACGACACGGGCGTCATGTTCCACACCATCGCCTCCGAGGTGAGATTGGTCCCAAGGACGGAGGATGACTGTCCAGTATTCCGGGGATGAGGGGAGGGGAGGGGGGGGGGGGCTGTTGTCACGTCAGGCTCTCGGTAAGCGTCCTGAGCGTGTCAGGTGTCACGTGTGAGGGATCGTCATTTTGTGTAGCAGTCCACGGAGCCACGGCATCGAGGAGGCGCCCGGACACTAGGTGACGCTATGTCTGATTGCGCCGTTTGTAGCGGTGTCCCGGTGTTATCGCGACTGCAGCGTTGATCTCATCTCAACTGCTGGTGGTGAAAACCGCTGGTTTAAGCCATATGGGTAGAAAGGCACTCAACGGGGTTCGTATCTTACCGGCCAGCAGAGGAAGGGTTCGTTACCACGTGCGAATGTGCATTCAAGAGGTTGACCTGGTGTCAGTCCTGTGCCTGGGTCGGCGTCGGCGTTAGGAACACTGATGGCCTCAGGCAGTGGTAATGGAACACGTTCCCCTTGGCACCCGTGAATGCATTTTACTCGCTTGGAAATGAGCTCCAGACAATTGTGTTTTCTTCAGCTGATCAAGTTTTCTACCGTTCTCAAGATCCAGATATTGACGCCAAAATCCGAAAATAACTTGAATTGTTGCAAAAGTCATGCGAGTGATTTCGAGTGGGCTGCATAATGTCTTTATCAAAAAGAAGATTTTACCTTGCTTTAAAGTTTTTTTCTATTACTGAGAATCTCTCTCTTAAAATAGAGCGTTCTGCCAGGAGCTTTTCCCTGCTCGGTTTGATTGTCGCGGCGAGCTTTCCATTTCCAGACTCATTGTGCATGATGCTGTACGTAAGAGCTCGCGTGTCTGAGAATATCCTGCGTTACGCCTATTTGTGTAATATTTAGACGGAACATTGCCCATTTATCAGCTGAAAGATGTCGGGCTGACCACCAAAACCGCAACATGCATCCCTTCCAGAGGGCAAAAGTGGGTCACATAGGACATTCCGATAGACACAGCGCGACACAGCGCCTGTGATGTGCTGCTGAGGCACAGCGTGGGTGGCACAGCGCCTGTGATGTGCTGCTAAGGCACAGCGCGGGCGGCACAGCGCCTGTGATGTGCCGCTGAAGCACAGCGCGGGCGGCACAGCGCTTGTGATGTATCACTACTCACCGGGGCGTCTGGCCTGTTTGCCCAATAACGTGTCTCGAATCGCTCTCATAAATGGACCTCATAAATCAAGGACCAGAGCGGCCGGCATAACTTGAGTCGTGTTGACGTGACCAGGGCACGGCAGATCCTCGCGTGGGGCCAGCCGACTCGTCCGGGACCACGCCCTGTCCAAGCCGCCAATGTGACCCCCCCTCCGTACCCCTTCAGACGGGCCATCTGAGCCCAGGTCAGCGGGTAGCTGTCCCACTGGTGTGCAGCATCATGGTAACCGTTGGAGACGGTGGGAGCCCGGCCCCCAGTAACCGTAACCGTTGGAGACGGTGGGAGCCCGGCCCCTAGTAACCGTGGGAGGTAACCGTGGGAGACGGTGGGAGCCCGGCCCCAAGTAACCGTGGGAGGTAACCGTGGGAGACGGTGGGAGCCCGGCCCCAAGTAACCGTGGGAGGTAAACCGGGTGGGAGCCGTACCGTGAGCACGGTGGGAGCCGTGGAGACGGTGGGAGCCCGGACCCCAGTAACCGTGGGAGGTAACCATTGGAGGCGGTGGGAGCCCGGCCCCAATATTTGATGTGACGGGATTCGTCATCTGTCTGAAACCCTCGACTTTTTCCCTCGGAAACGTGCAAGTGGTATTTAACACCAAATGAACGATGTTATTGGCCGAAATTTCGCGAAGTTTGAAAAGGCCAAAATTCCATGAAGCATATTCATCATCATGCATCATCTTCAGCTTGAAGTAGGTTGCTCCTGACACTTGGCGCCTCTCGGCCTAGTTAAGTCCCGCGCCCATGGGTGGGTGTGTTCCTGCTTTGTTTATGGACGCTACAGTGATAGGGAGTTGAGCTACCAGCCCGCAAACACCAGTAGCACATCCCATGAAATAACAAGGTCCAAACAGACCAACAAGCCGCGATTGTTTACTCGACGGGACATGTCAACAGCATAGCATGGGGTCAACCCGAGGTGGGCTGAGTAGCTCGGTGCTCTTAGGACGGGGTGATGTCGCCGTTGCCAAGGCAACGCGATCTGATTCGGGTCAATAGGTGAGCGGCTCAGCCTGCTGTTGTCAGAGGCGTGAGGCGCCGCGCCGCCCGGGTCCGGCTGGGATGGCGCGGCCGACTTGGCGCGCTCGCAGGCGAACCAGGCCCCCAGAGACTCAGAGGCGGACCGGGTCGGGTCAGGGCAGGTCAGAGGGCCTCCCGAGATACCTGACACCTCCGGACCGGGGATCAGTCTCCACGGATGCGGCAGGGCTAAGCGTACCGTAGAGACGAGGACGTCATTGGCTCTTGGTACGCGCCGCAACACGCATACTATGCGTCGCGTGACGTAAGAGCCTACCTACGCTGGTCATTGATTTAAGCCATTAATCATCAAGTTTTCGGGATGCCGAAAATAGCACACCATGCAAAGCGCGTCATGCGTTCTGCCCTTGTGTGGCATGCGTTCTACGTGAGATGGGGTTCTTGGTACAATGCTTGTCCAGCAAACAGTTGAGTTTTTTCCCTTTTATCTCTTCAGCAACATATACATAGAGACTGAATCGTTGCACCTTTCCGCTTATCTCCTTACACGTGTACCGCAATGTTGTCCCTGGCTTTTCAATGCTTGTAATGTTCGTCCTGGTTTTTCAAGAGTTAAAATAGCACGCAGGCTGGCTTGTTTTATCGGCCTGTAGACTCCCTCTCTCTCTCCCTCTCTCTCTCTCTACCTCTCTCTCTCTCTCTCTCTAAACTCTCTCCTCTCTTCTCTCTTCTCCTCTCTCTCTCTTCTCTCCTCTCTCATCTCTCTCTCTCTCTCTCTCCATCTCTCTCTCCTCGCCTCTCTCATCTCTCTCAGTTCTCCCTGCTCTAGCTCTCAAGTACTCCTCTCTCTACTTCTCTCTCTCTTCTCTCTCTCTCTCTCTCTCTCTCTCTCTCTCTCTCTCTCTCTCTCTCTCTTTCCGTGAAAGATATATGACTGCATGCGCATCACAAGTACATTATGTGAACTCTAGACAAACATGTGATTGTTGATCACCAAAAATTTATATGAATCTTGCGTAGCTCAAAGCTTTTATTCCCGAATATTTACGCGACTGATCACGCTTCGGCGATGCGGTGGACACCAGTCACATTGGTATCAAGCCGAATGTATTTGTTTGCAATTTTCAACACCATATACAATCACATTATTCTTAGCGCGTTGCTGGATGTGGGTGCTGTGCAACAGGCCTCGCAATCAATGAGGCCGTAGAGATCCAGCCCACCATCAAACAACAGCACACAGCTCGGGTCACTAATTGCCCAGAAACATTCTCCTCTATTTACCACAGCCAGTCAAACTCGCCGAAACATTGCCGCCATCCTGGGATAGCCAGGTGAGATGTACAGGACGTGAACCTTCAGAAGCGGTGATTTCGAACGCAACTTCTTCTATGGCATCACGACGGCCACCATCACATTCTATGCTTCACACATCGGGTCATGTAGAATTTATTGGGCTAGTGCGATAACGAGCATACTGTGCTGCGCTGCCCGCGGGTCGTGCGGAACAGTCTACCAGTCTGCGCGCTGGTAAAACGCATTCGATACGGCGCCATAATTCAATGAGTGGAGAACTATCAGCTGTATGTTTGTAACGCGTTGCAATGGGGGTTAATCGATGGTTTAGGCCAACTGGGCCATTGCCCGAGACGCCGATTCGTGTCAGATGACAACGACTTACGGTCCGCCAACTTGGTTAGGTTTCACAGGGCCGGGTGACAATGGACGCCCGCCCTGAACAGCTATTTTTGGACCGAATGTGAGCGGCCTGGAAGGGGCGGGAGCGTGACTTTTATCAAACCTGGAGTGCATTCTTTGCGGGATGACGAGGGTGGAGAGTTATCCAAACTTCGATCAGTTTGGGTAGATGGCGCATCGTTCGCCCATGACCTCGGTCAACACTTGTACGCCGCGCAGTCGCCATTAATCGTCCGTAAAGTGGCGCTCCGTTTAATTCCACGCAGTCGACTGCACCTCGGAGCGGACAGAGGTGCTCGTCCCCAGCTGTGGCAAGACTTGGCATTACCCCGAGAGCGCTGCACTGAAAGAGTTGAGTTCAAGATCGTCCCCACTGACCGCACCCGCCCTGTTTCAGAACGACTGGGTCGGTGACGAGGCGTGGCGCCCCTTCATCGTGCACGCCGTCTTCTGGGCTGGCAACATCGTGGGCTCCTGGGTCTGGGGCATCATCAGCGACAAGTGAGTCATGTGCTACGTGTTGGCCAGCGCGATGCATTCGTGAATGTGTATGTGTGTGGCATGTTTCTTGGTAAATGACCAAACCGAATCTAAGCCACTCGACGTATATATATATATATATATATATATATATATATATATATATATATATATATATATATATATGGCCAGCAAGCTAGACCACTAGGCTCCAAAAAATGATAGGTTTTCAGGACGTTGAAGTTTCAATACAGTTACCGCCGCACCACGGCACGGGTCATCACCGGGACACCCCAGCGTCGTACATCACACCGCACGTGTCCCGTCCGCGTCTCACCACCGCCGTGTTCGCCGCAGGCTGGGCCGTCGGCCGGCCACTATCGCGTCGTTCGTGGTGTACGCGGCCGGCGGCGCCCTCACGCTGGTGAGGCCCTCCAGCATGGAGGTGATCATGGTGGTCCGCTTCCTGGTCGGCAGCGCCCACCACACCGTCACACACCTGCCCTACGTGCTCGGTAAGTGACTTAGCGATCAGTTTAAGTTAGGTTTTAAGTAAGTTAAGGTAGTCCTCGATTAAAGGACTCATCACCGTTTTCGCAGCACAGTGTACCCTCAGCGTTAACGTGTCTCCGTTTTAGAATTCTATGGCTGGCTGCTTAAAGTGCAGCAGATGCTCCTTGTTTCCTTTGCATCTACCCGTGACTGACACTGCGCTGGCTCTGGCGCTGGCGCTGCGTGCTGGCGCTGCACACACCAGCAATGACGGGTGGCTTGAGGTGTCCTCAGCTCGCAGTGATCCAGCAATGCGATGCCTTTTAAAATGTGTACGTTTGACGATGACCTGCGGTAATTCAGTACTGTAAATTCATATGAAACGTTGCGTTTGACGACGATCTGCAGCGATCGGAAACGGCGGAAACGTCTACAATGCGCGTGTGTGACGGTGGTCTGCAGTGATCAAGTACTCGTGCGTCATTTATACGGTGCGCCTGTACCGGTTCGCGGCGATAAGACCCGGTGACGTCATGTTTACCGTGCGTGTTTGCCGGCCGGCAGTGATCGAGTACTGCGGCTCCGCCTACCGGACGTACCCGCTGCTGGCCCTGATCGCCGCCTGGGGGCTGGGCGGCGTGCTGCTGCCCTGGATCGCCTTCTTCGCCTGGAACTGGCGCCTGCTGGTCTGCGTCTCCAGCATGCCGCTGCTTATCGCCGTGCTCTTCTACAGGTGGGGGCCGAGGTTTATGTGCGGCGTGAACTCGTGTCAGTTATACTGATTTGGCGAAGCTACATCCTTTATCGTTGGTGCTTTGTTCTCTCCGCAGGCGTGTACATCCACACATCTGACTTCCAACTAACAGTACAAACATGACCCACCAAAGGGACACAGTTGCTCAAGGCTTTTACCAACGTAGGTGGAAGGTCCTTTGTTCAAGGCTGAATTCGACAGACTTCTCAACCGATTCCTTCACAGCAGATGGCAGCAACTGGGGCCGGAGGGGGGGGGGGGGTAACCACACTGTCTTCGGTCCGGTGGCCTTTCCTTGGGTGGGGGGGGAAGGGGGGTACCGAGGACGGGCCGCGCCCTGTGTTACCAGATCAGCCCCCTGCTCAACATGCCCGAGTCGTCCAGACTGGCCAGCCGCGTGCACGTGAGCTTCGACTGCCACGCTGGCAGCACGCGTATGGTCACGACTGCCACGCTGGCAGCACGCGTATGGTCACGACTGCCACGCTGGCAGCACGCGTATGGTCACGACTGCCACGCTGGCAGCACGCGTATGGTCACAACTGCCCAGCGAATGAGCCCAAAATGAAACGTTTGCCGTGCACAGCGTGTGCCAGCAAGCATTTAAAAAGGCCGGAAGTGAGGTACATAAAATATAGGGGAAAGCATAACTCATAGCGAGTATACTTCTAATTCCTACAGCGATTGCTCCACACGTGCGATAGGTCCAACCCGGGGTCCGCTTCATGGATGATGGTGGACACAATCTTCCCTCTCAGGTACATCCCCGAGTCTGCCTCTTGGCTGATGGTGAACATCATCTCCCTGGCAGGTACATCCGGAGTCCGCCTCTATGCTGATGGTGAACGCCATCCCTCTCGCAGGTACATCCCCGAGTCGGCCTCTTGGCTGATGGCGAACACCCCCTCCCTCTCGCAGGTACATCCCCGAGTCGGCCTCCTGGCTGATGGCGAACACCATCTCCCCCTCTCAGGTACATCCCCGAGTCGGCCTCCTGGCTGATGGTGAACACCCCCTCCCTCTCGCAGGTACATCCCCGAGTCGGCCTCTTGGCTGATGGTGAACGGACGCGGTGACGAGGCGGAGGCGGTGCTGCGCCGCGTGGCCGCCGCCAACGGCTGCGAGCTGGACGAGGCCGTGTTCTGCGAGGTGATGGTGGACAAGCGGGAGGGCGAGCCGCAGACGGGCGGCGAGAGCCTGCTGCACGTCTGGCGGCACCAGCGCCTGATGAAGAACATGGCGTTCGTCACCATCCTCTGGTGAGAACGGACACCGCCGCTGTATTGGTGTATGGGCGTACGGTGGTGACGATGATAGCTCAGGGTGTGTAATGTGTCTGCAGCCGGCTGAATCTTGTACAAGGGCAGACGAGCGAGATTGGAGGGAATGTTTGGTGCAGGTAGTTTACTTAGGTGCCTTCCTCAGCGTCGTGATGACCGCTAGTAACGCTTAGACGGTCTGCAGACTCGGAGGCACGCGTTCGCCTCAACCCACGTGTCCGATAGATGGGTCCCGTTTGCCTTATCGCCTGACTGGACAGATTCACGCTTAGTTTAAGTACGGTTATCCGAGATATCAAAAAGGAACGAAGTCGACGATCTCCTATCTAAGTGGCACCATGTCAATAACGATAAAATCATATGTCCTGGACGTCCGGGTGGCGCACCAGCAGCCGCCGCATGTCCTCGCCGCCCCCCCCCCCCCCCTCCCCTCTCCCAGCCGATCACCACTCACCGGCCCCCGCTCCGCCACACAGGATGCTGGCCTGCCTCTGCTTCTACGGTCACAGCCAGAACACGGGCAACCTGGGTCGCTCCGTGTTCGTTTCGTTCTCGCTGGGCGGCGCCGTGGAGCTGGCGGCGCTGGTCGTGCCGCTCGTCATCCACCGGCTGGGCCGGCGCTGGCCGATGGCCACCTTCTTCGTGACCTCGGGCCTGTGCGGCGTGCTCTACGCCATGATCGGCAGCGGTCAGTGTGCAGCGGGGCCGACCGGGCTGGCCGCAGGCTTCGGTCACGGTCATACGACGCCAGGGGCTTAGAAACGGGTCACGACTAAATCCGCGCGCCCTAGTAGAGTGGGCGATACTTTGCTGAAACAATGCTTGGTTTCATCTTCCAATCACCCATCTGGAACCAGCGCTTGATGACCAGAGATAGCTTGAGGTCTCACATCACCAGCTCATAGCTCGGTTGTCCATCTGCCGCTGTTTCAGTAATGTTTGAGCCTGTGCGGGACCCCGTGTGACCCTGTATGACCCCATGTGACCCCGCATGACCCCGTGTGACCCAGTATGACCCCTTGTAATCTCGTGTGACCCCGCGTGATCCGTGGGACCTCATATGATCACGTATGACCCCATGTTACCCCGTGTGACCCCGTGTGATCCCGTATGACTCTGCGTGATCCCGTGTGATCCCTATGACCCCACGTGACCCCGTGGCTCTGCTCCGGCAGGCCTGAGCTCGGCCGGCCGCCTGGCGCTGGGTCTCACCGGGCGCATGCTCATCATGGGCGCCTACAGCACGTGCCTGCAGTACGGCCCCGAGCTCTTCCCCACCGTCATCCGCGGCCAGAGTCTGGCGCTGTACGAGACGCTCGGCGGCCTCGCCATCTTCATCAGCCCCTCCATCGTCTACCTGGTCAGTGGGCCGGACCTTCGCCTGAGTCTCTCCGTTAGCTGCGGGACACACTGACGCGCGGCTGTCGGCAACGTGTCTCTTAGGGCTAGGTCAAACTAAGCAGTTTTTGTTGTTCAGCGAGGGATTCGCTGCTTTCTTTTCAACTCTTCTTGATCGCTTTGGGTATCAGTAGACAATTATCTTAGAATTCGTGTCACACTTACACACGCTTTCAAAAGTACCGTGCCATCCTCACTGGTGCCGCTTTCATTTCACTCCAAACTCGTGTTCAGGAACGCTCTCAACTAGTCAATGAATTCCGCTTATAGCCTCATGCAATCATGGACACCATCGCTGGTAGCATAAATCCTATACCTAATGCTGTGAGTCCCCATGGGCTTATGGGAAGACAAAATATAGTCCCTTCATGGGCTACTTTGCCTTGCCCGGTGAGCACCAGACCCACCAGACCACTTCCTCCGTCTTGCCAGCCTCCTCGCTTGCCCGGCGCCGCACCGCCGCGGCCAGCACCACCTGACGCCCTCCCCCCTCGCCACCGTCAGCACCATCAGACGCCGGGCCTGCCGCTGCTGGTGATCGGGGCGCTCTCGCTGCTGGGCGGTGCCATCACGCTGCTGCTGCCGGAGACGGCCGGCGAGCGCCTGCCGCAGACGCTGGCCGACGGAGACCAGCTGGGTCGCGGCCAGCGCCTGCTGGCCGGCTGCTTCGCCAAGCGCGACGACGATCAGACCCAGCTGAAGGTCGACAGCCAGCTGAAGGTGTAGCCGGAGGAGCAGTTGGAGACTGCGGGTCAGCTGCAGCTGGAGGTGCGGTCTGAAGATGAGCGGCAGCTGAAGGTGAGGCCTGTCACAAAAGGTGGAGACTGCCACCAATCAAAGGGAAAATTACAGCCGGCGGAGAAATTACAGCTGAAATTGTAGCATGAAAGCAGATGGGCGTTGAACTGAAAGTCGGAGAGGAGATTTCAGCCGAAATTTTAGACTGAGAAGAGATGACAGTTGAAATATGCCTGAGACTTGCCGGTTGCTGTCTGATGATGCGGTGACTGGAAGATCGGTCGAGTGGTCGAGTCGAGTCAAGCCGTCGAGGTTTACGTTCTAAGGTCGAGTGTGTGACGCCCCGAGGTCGTGTCTCGTCCCGCACCGGCCACTGTCCGCGTGGACTGTCCGGGGCCCGCGAAGGCTCCACTGGGGATGCGGCCGATGCGCTGGAGCTGAGTCTTGTAACCGACTGATGCGGTGGCGCTTGCTGTGTCTGAGATGCGGAGTCTGCAGGTATGGGCTCCAGATGGTCTGGGATCGGAGTGCTTGTTACGTACTGATGAGGTCCGTCCCGCGAGGCGACGGGTGCGGTGTCTAACGCGGTCCGTTCCGCGAGGCGACGGGTGCGGAGTCTAGTGAGGTCCGTCCCGCGGGTTGACGGGTGCGGTGTCTAATGAGGTCCGTCTCGCGAGGCGACGGGTGCGGTGTCTAGCGCGGTCCGTCTCGCGGGTTGACGAGTGCGGTGTCTAATGAGGTCCGTCTCGCGAGGCGACGGGTACGGTGTCAAACGCGGTCCGTCTCGCGAGGCGGAGAGGTGCCGCGTCTAATGAGGTCCGTCTCGCGAGGCGACGGGTGCGGTGTCAAACGCGGTCCGTCTCGCGAGGCGGAGAGGTGCCGTGTCTAATGAGGTCCGTCCCGCGGGGGGGGGGGGAGCGAGGGAGGTGTGGTGTCTGGAACACGAAGTCTGCTATCGTAAGGTCCAGATGGTCCGCGGCTGTGGCTCTCGACTCGCCGACGTGGTCAGTCCTGCGCCGGCAGCGGTGCTGCCCCGCGGGTGCGCGTGAGAGGTGCTGGTGATGCCCGTCATGTGTTAGCTGGCGGAGTCCCGAGTCTCCAGTATGGTGCACGTTATCGAGAGGCGCTGCCTTCGCTCGTTTTGCGAACCGTCCTGGACACAGTTGATGTTATTTCGTCGAAACGGTCCGCACAGGGCCACCACTTAACAATGCGTTTAAGCATTATCCACAGCATTGCGATTATTTGTATTTTCGTTTGTGGCGCAGTTGATCTGTGCGGTGCAAAGCATCTATTTATCGTCACGAATGTTAAAATGGTATTCCATTAACGAAGTAGCGATCTCTATATATCGACTTACCGTCAAGAATGTTAAAACGGCATTCCAGTAACGAAGTGGCGATCTCTATATCTCGATTTATCGTCAAGAATGTGAAAATGGCATTCCAGTAACGAGGTAGCGATCTCTACGCCTGTTTCATGTGTCCGTTTCATGTTTCATGTGTCACGTCTGGTGCGTGTATGTTCAGTACGAAAGTGTCAGCTGCCATGCGTCAGCCACGGGCCGCCCAAAAGGCTGCCGCAGCTCGCGCCTGCGATGTTCTGCCACCATCCACGTGCATAATTGCGATGGTGCTAGCGCGGCGGGCAGCGGTGTGCATAATCTACGCGTCGAGCGATCGAGGCAGTAAAGGTCGTGTGAGCACGTGGCGCGAGGTCCGCCGCGAGGCCCCGGCCACGTGGCCGACCTCAGCCGACCCCGCGGACGGACGGCGGGCCGCGGTGACTCGGGAGACCTGGCGCACGGCGACCGGGCGACTGTGATGGAGGGGACGAGCTGGCTGGAAATACAGAGCGTTGAGCGCGGCTTGCCTTTCTCGGCCCCTTGACCGGCACCTACAGTGAGATACCTGCAGCCGCATTGAGCGTGTATTGCCAGCAGCACGGCACACCCTGGCACCGCCGAACCCTCCACGCACCGCCACGCCTTCTCCGTCCAGTCCCGCCACGTAGCCCGGCTACACCACTCCGCCACAGGCGAGCAGAGAACCCATCGCAGGGATCAGAAAACAGGGGCGGGACCCCGACGAGAAGCTTCTTCACACTGATCCTCGCGGCGGACTTCGGGCCGGTAACCCACACAACGCTAACGGCGGAATGCCAGCGCTGGACAACTGACTTCCCCTTCCCTCACGCCGGCGCCGGACAGCACTGACGGCCGTCCCCCGCCGCCCCCACGCCGGCGTCGAGCAGCACCGCCGACTGTCCTCTGCCGCCCCTCACGCCGGTCAGACAGCACTGACGGCCGCCCCCCGCCGCCCTCACGCCAGCGCCGCCAGCCGGTCGGCCTCCACCTCGACCTCGTCCACGATCCCGGCGCCGAGCGTGCGCGCCAGCTCGGCCAGGCCGGCCACGTCCGGCGCGACGGCAGCGCCGCCGCCGGCCGCCGTCGGCGCGTCGCCCTCGGCACTGAAGGCCGTCAGCGGCCGCGGACGGAGCGCATCGCGGCGCACCACCACGCCGATGACGTCCCCACCGCAGCGGTCGTGACAGACGAGCGCCCAGCCGGCGGCGGCGGCGCGCAGCTCGTGCGCCAGCCGAGCCGCCGGGTCCAGCGCCGGCGGCGGCAGCGCCTCGAACGTCTGTCGCTGGTAGGCGTCGGCGCGCGCGACGGCGCCCGTCGCGTCCACCGCCTGGTGGCGGCGCGGCAGCCGGCGCCGCCGCAGCCGCACGCGCATGTCGAACGTGTCCAGCGGCGGCCGGAAGATGGCGCGCCAGTCGGGGGTCGCGGAGTCCGGCGTGGCGTCCAGCTGTGCGCTCAGCAGCTGGTGAGCGGCCGCCGCCAGCTTCTGTGACACGCAGGAGGGTGGAGTGAGCGGTGACGTCTGGTAGGGGGCAGCTGCCGACCACTGGACCGCTCCACTTCTGCTACACTCACCACACAAAAAGACACGCTCCACTTGGGCTAAACTCACCACCCAAAATGACACGCAACCTACGTAGCCGCACAGATATGGTCCAATGATCGGAAAGTTTTTTGCCTTCGCATGTCAACCGCGTTCGTCATCATCTTACTTTAAACACAGCCAAACTTCCTAAAAGAGATCCCACTTACCCCGCCGAGCCACAAACACGCCCGGTCTACACCCCTGACCGTTCTCACACGGCCCGGCGCCCCCCGCCTGACGGCGGCAGCTCCCCGCACCTGCGTGTGGTGCAGTACGGCGGCGGTGGGCGCGCGCTGCGTCCAGGCGGCGCCCGTCTCGTCGTACGGCGTGTACACGGTCCAGGCCGGCAGCCGGTCCCGCCCGGCCCTGAAGGCGGCCAGCAGGCGGGCCTGCTGCTCGGCCGGCAGCTCGCCGTTGAGCGGCACCAGCAGCGGCTGCTGGTGCCAGTCGGTGTGCGCCAGCAGCCGCAGCCAGCGCAGCAGCGCCGGCGCCGGCTGCTGCGGAGCCGCCAGCGGCGCCGCGCTCAGGAACACCTGGCGGCGCGGTCGGCGGCGTCAGACGGCGGCCGGCCGCGTGTCACGGCCCGTGAGGCGCGCTCGCGCATGTTCGTGGAAGTTTTCACACATCCTTCCAGCTGTTCGTATAAATGGGATGCTGAATTCCACCGCTATAACGCAAAATTGGCGGACGCATGTGCAGGAAGCCGCGATGGCAACGGGCGGGGCATTGATGGTAACCAGAGGGAACTGACAAGACGGGGATTGGTGGTAACAAGAGGAAGGGTGATGGCAGGAAGGAAATTGATGGTAATAAGAGGGTAATTGATGGTAACCAGATGAAAATTGATGGTAACAAGAGGGTAATTGATGGTAACAAGATGGAGATTGATGGCAACAAGAGAGGTATTGACGCCAACGAGAGGGGATTCCAGATGCTCATGTGCGAAATACTTGCACGCTTCCCTAGTTTGTCCTTCACTCTGCACACACCAACATAGATCATCCTTTAACGGCAGCGATGAATGCAACATGACCACAGTAGTCGGCGCGCCCTAAACCTCCGACTAACAGCATCTTTTAAGAGCCAGCAGCGCGGTGGCGGGGACAGCTGTCTGTCTGAGTCACCTGTCTGATAGGCATGGCAACGCCCCACCGCATCTGGGACCCTCGTTTTGTAGCAGGGAGCTCACGGCATCAAGACCGACCAACAGCTCCAAAGGAACATCGCACCTCAACCACTGCCGCCGGTATGATGATGCGACATTAATGGCTATAACAATGCGCGGGCAAATGTGTTTGAAAAACTTGCCAACACTGCAATAGGAAGTGGAGCAAGTTTGAAATAAAATAAACTACAAAACCGTCTTGACATAAAAAGTAAGCAATGAACAATAAACAATGAAGCCTAAACAGGACACGGGTATGTAGGTACCACACGACTGGTGCCGGGGCGTCAGGCCGAACCCCGTCCCTTTCAGCGCGGCGTCCCCCAGCGGAGGTCGTGACCTGACCTGGGCCATGAGCAGCTCGGCAGCGATATCGGGCACCAGCTCCGACAGCATTTGCGCAGAGAGCCAGCGCAGCGCCAGGCGACAGGAGGCGCTGAAACAGACCGGCAGCGTCGTGACCTGTAGGACCATGAACAGGATCCTGTAAGCCGGGTTCTGCTCTATCCGTGTTGGCACGCGTAGGCCGGGTGACACGCCCTACCCTCTGCATACACTGGGACGCAGAGTCCCGTCCTCTCTCCCCCGCCCCCGCCGTTCGTCGCCTGTACACCCCGTCAGTCCGGGGTACCGCTCCCCCGCACACACCTGTACGCCGGGTGCTGCCGCTGCAGGCCGGCCAGCGCCGAGGTCAGGCGCGGCAGCTGCACGGTGCGCCGCTCCAGCAGCGCCGCCGCCTCCGGCTGCTTGCGCAGGCGCAGCAGGGCCGGCTCGCGCGGGTACGCCACCGCCAGGCGGAAGAGGAAGCCGTCGCAGATGACGAGCACACCGTCCCGGCGCACGGCCGCCGTCAGACCCTGGCTGGTCAGCTCGGTCCGCATCTGGCGGCGGCGGAGCACGGTCAGAGGTCACCGTCAGGGGGGGGGCGGCAGGACACCGTCAGACCCTGGCTGCTCAGCTCGGTCCGCATCTGACGGCGGCGGAGCACAGTCAGAGGTCACCGTCAGGGGGGGGGGGGGCCGGCAGGACACCGTCAGGCCCTGGCTGCTCAGCTCGGTCCGCATCTGACGGCGGCGGAGCACAGTCAGGGGTAACAGTCAGGGGGGGGGGGGGGGGCAGGACACCGTCAGACCCTGGCTGCTCACCTCGGTCCGCATCTGACGGCGGCGGAGCACAGTCAGGGGTCACCGTCAGGGGGGGGGGGGAGGCAGGCAGGCCGTGGCTGCTCAGCTCGGCCCGCGTCTGACGGCGGCGGAGCACGGTCAAAGGTCACTGTCAAGGGGGAAGGGGGGGGGACGGGGCGGCGACAAGGCGAGTGAGGGGCGCATCAAATACAGCCGGACTACACCGTGATCTCAGCAAGTTTTAACTTGCGTCGTACTGGAATGCTCAGAAAAGATAACGAGAAAAGGGAGTACGAAGTTAAGACTTTTCCAAGATCATCAGATCAAATAATTGGCAGCAGGTCATCCTATATCAAACAGACTGATAACGGCAACTACGGCCATCACTATCCCATAAAACTGTCGTGTGCTCAGCAGCGAACGCGTGACCATGATTCCCAGTTGTGCATCAAAACAGCGCACACCTGGGGAGGTATGACTACAAGACAATGAAGGAATGGTAGCTTCATGACCCAGGGAAGGAGAACAGGACATGAACATCTGAAAATGTAAATGAAAATTCAAGCTCCGAACCTCAAACAGCAAAAAGCAAGCACAGTATTGTCAGCTGTCTGTGCTGTGAGCTCCCAGCGAGTCTCTCCGCGCCGCCGCGCCCGACGGCCGAGCAGAGCGGCTGAGCTGACCTGCAGGTGGAAGGCGGCCTTGACCCGGCGAATAGCATCCGGTTCCTCGGGCCACTTGCCGCTGATCTCCAGCTGCAGCACCACGTCCGAGACGGGCGCCCAGGGCAGCGGCAGCTCCACCTGCCGCTCCAGCAGCTGGCTGGCCTGGCGGAGCAGTCGCAGTGACGTCATAACAGGCGGTGGTAATGACGTCACGCCAGACCGGCGCCCAGAGAAGCGGCGGTAACGCCCACCGCAAACGCGCCCCGTCAGCCAACCAGAAACGGAAAAGAAACCTGCGTGTACGAATCACTTAGCCGCCAGTGCACCTGCATCTGCTGTTTTTTGTTTCCCTATGTACGTCTCGGGAGGCACTGCGTCTGCGATGCGTCAATCGTATACTGGACACAAGCCATCCGCATCCCAGATCAGAACGAATTTACACATAAACCCAGTAGAACGACACATCCGAGGCGAGCAGCAGCGCACGAGCACCAACAGGCGTCCCACCGCAACCATGGCCGATTGGTTGTAATAGGCACAGGCATCCCACCGCAGCCATAGCTGGTTGGTCGTAACAGGCACAGGCATCCCATCACAACCATAGCCAGTTGGTCGTAACAGGCACAGGTGTCCCACTGTAACCATAGCCAGGTGACAGATAACCTGAATGTGCATAACAAGCCATCTCACACGACATTTGATTTGTTCGCGATACGGACGCCGCCGTGGGCCGACCCATCAGCCGTCCGCCGGCGCGTCGCCGCCGCCGCCACTGACCCCGTGTCGGACGGAGCGTCCGCTGAGCGCCTGGTACATCTCGGGCAGCGGGGGGAAGGGCTCGGCGTGCCGCAGCGCCGGCGCCGCCGCGTGCACGGCCGCCACCGACAGCGGCAGCGCGTGCATGCGCCGGAGCAGCGCCGACAGGCGGCCGAAGCTGGCCGACAACGCCAGCTCGGCCTCCTCGCCCGAGCCGTACGCGAAGGCCGGCAGCTGGCGCGTCTGGCAGAGCAGCTCCTCCGGGCCGTCCGAGACGTAGCGCACCTCCGACTCCGACACCTGGCGGCGGGCAGGAGAGTCACGCCCGGCAGACGGCAATGTGGCGGTGATGACGTCACTGGACCAGCCTCAGCCACACCGTCCACACATTCCAGTGGGGTCCAGGAGATACACTAGTTGTCGCCTTGAAGCGGCACAGCTGTGCCAGCGCTACGCTGACGGGATAATCCACACTCGCTCTCCTCCCCTAAAAGGGGTGACCCTTACCGCGCCACCCCCCGTTAAAGCCGTCCACACAGCCGCCCTCCCCACCTGACCGCGGCGCCCCAGCCCCCGCCCGACCAGCGCCCCCGCTGACCTTGAAGTGGTGCCGCAGCAGGTGCAGCACCACCTGGCGGCAGATCATGCGGTGCTCGTGCAGCGTTTCGGCGCGCCACACCACCGCCTCTCGAATGCTGCCGTCCTGGAAGCGGCGCGTGCCGGCCGGCGTCCCCCAGAAGGCGCGGAACTCGGCCGCCTCGGCGCGCCGCTCCGAGTCCGGGCCCTTGTCGACGACGCTGGTGAGCCGCTCCCGGTTGAGCCGCAGGCCGAGCGTGACGGCGGCCGGGTCGGCCGGCGGCGGCTGCTCGGGCGGCCAGGCCGGCGCCGGCGGCGGCCGCGCCGCCAGCAGCAGCACGCGGTCCGTCAGGCCGCGGCGCAGCGTGGCCAGCAGGCCGGGCAGCGCCGCCGGCAGGCCGCCGGCCGGTCGGTCGCGCGTCGCCGGCTGCTGTCGCGTCAGCGCCGACGTCTGCACGTGCCACACGTGGTCGAGCGCCTCCAGGAACGGCACCGGCGTCATGAAGAGCGCCTGCGGCGGACGGTCGTCAGAGCGTGGCGCGCGCCACCGCTGACTTCGCCGACTCACGCAGGTGACGCGGCCACCTCGACAGACGCGGACGCGGCACGCGGGCACTGCTGTTGTCATTGGGACTTAACGACACGCTCCGCTGCTGAGGCTATGTGGCGTCGCCTGCCTCTCACCCTGACAGGAAGGGCGGGCACCGCGGGGAATCGAACCGCGAACCTCTGGTTTCCCAGACGAGTAGTCGTTAACGCAGACGCGTTAACCACTACGCTGCAGGCACCCTAGGCAGGCATACACACAGGCCACAGAAAGCTGGATGAAGCCATCAGCGCTTGGAATAAGATCTGCGCACCAAAAACACTCAGCGCCGGGAATCAGACTGAGACAAAATTACGCCGTCATCCATTGCAATACATGACCTCCATTCAATAGCAAACATGACTGCTTTTCTCTCTCAGCTGCGACGTAAGCGGCACCTACGGCCTCGGAAGGCCACACCGCGGCCCCGCTGGTGACCTGACCTCGGCCGGCGCCGCCTGCGGTGCGCCGACATCGCCTCACCTGAAAGCCGTCCACCTCTGGGTCGTCGAGGTAGGCCACGGCGCGCGCCGCCTCGTCGCGCAGCCGCGCGTACGTGGCGCCGCTCACGGCCCAGGCCAGGTTCAGGAAGCCGGACGGCTCCACCAGCACCACCTCGAAACACTGGCGGCACGGTGATTACGCCACAGTGACGTCAGAGGCACGGCAGACGCGCTGCCGGTGGGGTGGGCGGGGTGGAACGCGATGGTGCTGATCACAAGGACTCGCGAGCTCCCATCACTTTCTCCATAACTGACTCCTACTACAGTGCCTTTTCGGCTTAATTTACATTTTAAATCAACCATTCAGAGACAGAAGGACATTCGCCGATACAAGAAAGCTACCATCAGAGCTTAACTGTTGAAAAGGTTTAGTGAATCAAGCCAACTATTGCAACAGAAAACATCTTATCTACTCAACAAGTGGCTACTGTTCCAGTCAGTTTACAACCAAACGTACCACACCCTATACGTGCATACTGCTCCTGCACATTGCATCATGTCAGCGAATTCCACGACAAATCGGGCCAGACGACCGAGCCATCTTCACCACCACATGAGCCAAACACGCCAGACGGGCACCGTCCGTCACTGGCGCCGCCGAGCAGGCCAGCTCCGAGCGAGCGCGGCGGCAGCGGCGGCGGCGGCGGCGCACCTCCGTGAACTCGTGCAGCGCCGGCTGGCCGTCGGCCGGGTTGTCCACGAAGCTGACGCCCTCAGCCGCCCAGTCCGTCTTGGTCAGCTGGACCCAAACGTTGCGCATCACCTGGTGACGGGCCGGCCGTCAGAGCTGCCGCTGCCGGGTGACCCGGGCGACACCAACCAGCAATACCACACACAGCCGCCACCAGCTCCACTGCAGGCCGACTGGGGCCTGGAGCTGACCCGGGTGATGACACCACTCAGCTGTACCACAAACACACATACACACACAGCCGCCACCAGCTCCACCGCAGGCCGACTGGGGCCTGGAGCTGACCCGGGTGATGACACCACTCAGCTGTACCACAAACACACATACACACACAGCCGCCACCAGCTCCACTGCAGGCCGACTGGGGCCTGGAGCTGACCCGGGTGATGACACCACTCAGCTGTACCACAAACACACATACACACACAGCCGCCACCAGCTCCACTGCAGGCCGACTGGGGCCTGGAGCTGACCCGGGTGATGACACCACTCAGCTGTACCACAAACACACATACACACACAGCCACCACCAGCTTCACTGCAGGCCGACTGGGGCCTGGAGCTGGCCCGGGTGATGACGCCACTCAGCTGTACCACAAACACACATACACACACAGCCGCCACCAGCTCCACTGCAGGCCGACTGGGGCCTGGAGCTGGCCCGGGTGATGACGCCACTCAGCTGTACCACAAACACACATACACACACAGCCGCCACCAGCTCCACTGCAGGCCGACTGGGGCCTGGAGCTGGCCCGGGTGATGACGCCACTCAGCTGTACCACAAACACACATACACACACAGCCGCCACCAGCTCCACTGCAGGCCGACTGGGGCCTGGAGCTGACCCGGGTGATGACACCACTCAGCTGTACCACAAACACACATACACACACAGCCGCCACCAGCTCCACCTGCAGGCCGACTGGGGCCTGGAGCTGACCCGGGTGATGACACCACTCAGCTGTACCACAAACACACATACACACACAGCCACCACCAGCTTCACTGCAGGCCGACTGGGGCCTGGGCAGCCAGCTTACAAGTGACTGGCCGCGCCAGTCTAAAGAGGTACACAATGAATGACTCAGAGTTGGCATAACGCCATTGGACGTAGATTTAGGCACACAAACATAATCAATTTGCCTCCATTACTATCTCCTGCTCACTGAACCTGTGTGTGTATAGATAGATAGATAGATAGATATATATATATATATATATATATATATATATATATATATATATATATATATATATATATATATATCCATCTATCGTATATATATATATATATATATATATATATATATATATATATATATATATAATGCAAACATCTGCTTTCGTGAAGCCAAAAATCCGGCCTGTCCGCACCTGATAGGCGCTCATGAGCTTCGCGAGCCGTCGCTGCTTGAACAGCCAGAGTATGAACGCCGTGAGCAGCTCCGCGTCCACGGCGCCCGGTCCCTGATCCAGCTGTCGCTGCCGCAGCCAGACGGCCAGCAGGCGCACAGCCTGGCACGCCGCCGGCAGCTGCGCCAGCTCCCGGGCGCGCCAGCTGGCCAGCTGCTGCGCCAGCTGGTCGGCCAGCACGCCGCTGTTGTAGTGCGGCGTGGGTGTCTCGCGCTGCGGCGGCACGGCGGCGCCCAGCAGCCACTTGCTCTGGACGGCGGCGCGCGCCGGGCCGAGGCGCGCCGGCGGCAGCGCGGCCGGCGGCGGCACCGGCAGCAGGCGGACCCGGTGGCGGCGCGCGCCGCGCCCGGCCGGCCGCACCAGCAGCGCCGGCCGCAGCGGGATCGCCGTCGACGAGCGCAAACTCGACGCAGGCGACCAGCTGGCAGCCGCGCAGCCGCCACGCCAGGTAGGTGAGGTAGAGCGCCCGCTTGCGCGCGTACCTGCGGCGAGCGGACACGGCTCACCATTGGTGACCACCAGACGACAGTGACACAGACGCGTCTTTGTGGGGGTGCATGACTTGCCGAACACAGAGCCAGAGGGTCACATGGCATAGCTGGCTGCGTGACAGACAACTCCTCTTCAATGGGCAATCATACCACTTTAATTGCCCTCACTGTGACTCATGCAACATAAGAAATGCATTGCTCGACATTCAACGAAACCGGAGCAGGGACATGAGAGCATCCGGCTCAGCGCAGCTCCATGATCTCGAGGCAATGGTGCAGTTTCCGTTACTCGGCTCTGCTCGACACCGCGTAAACACGCAAACACCGATCCTTCTGCCGCGGCACACGGCCTCTAGCAGCATCTGATTCCCTTCCTCTGCTGCCTCCCCTCCCCGCCCCTTCTCCCCGCCTGCGCACCTAGCGTTGACCAGGTCACCGGCCTGCACGCAGCTGTCGGGCATCTCCAGCAGCAGGTCGGCAGTGCCGCCCCGCTCCAGCACGTCGGCGGCCAGCGCGCCGGCCGCCACCACGCGCGTCGGCGGCCCGAAGCCGAACGTCAGCGGCGCCGCCTCCTCGTCCGGCAGCGCGTCCGGCAGCGGCAGGCGCAGGCCGCTCTTCTGCAGCCAGCGCTGGCGCTGGAGCGGCCGCGCGGGCCGACTCGGCAGCGCCGCCAGCCAGGCCTCAAACTCCGTGATCCAGGCCCGCAGCGCTGATGACTGCTTGGCGGTGGGAGTCACCTGGGAGGGGAGGAGGGCGAGGGATGAGGGCAAAGCGCCACGGTCACTCCCCGCAACTGGCCTGTTTAAATGACGTACCGGGCGCTAAAAAGCATGCAAAACTCACACACTAGGCCTACATTAGTTTTACTTTCCCGTCGGCACCTCACCTCCGACAGCATCTCGGTGGTCTGCAGCTGGAACAAGTTGGAGTGGAACAGGTTCTGCGTCTGGCGCAGACTGATGAGCTCGTCGGCGGTCGGCGGCCGGCGCAGCGCCGTGCGCGCCTTCTTCCGCGGCGCGCCGCCATCGTCGCTGAGCTCGTCCTCGGCCGCCTCGAGCGGGCCGGCCTCGTCCGCCGACAGCTCGTCCGAGCTGTCCGAGCCGGCCAGCTCGGCCTCAGTCAGCTCCATGCCGCCGCTCACGCACCACGGCCGCGGCAGCTGTGGGCGGGCAGACGCGTGTGGTAGGAGGGACGCATCCTGCTGGCATGCGTCACGTCCTGGCGGTGTGTATACGGCAGATGTGGGCTTGTTCTCCTCCAGTGATATAGTTTCTTACTTTGATTAACAACACAGGAGGTTGAATCAAACTGACCCCATGAAACAAAACAAACATTAAATTAATCACAAAATTTCAAAAATCGTTCTGAACCTGTTCACAATTCCACAAATGACTCATTTCTGAAATTTTTTCTGATGCGGTCAATTCTCTGACAACATTTATGGCATGAGTTTGAGGCTACACATGCCATCTAATATGGAGACAATGCTGGGCAACTGACTGACCAAAACATTATGTGTCTGTGTGGTAATTGCCATGATGGATGACAAATAGTTATAAATATAGCGGCCATGAAGCCAACATGAGATGAGGCATAACTGATAAAGACCATCATATTTGCCATCATAAAGAATCAAATAGCTGAGCGATGACAGTGGAATCCAGGGCATCCTTGTAAACTTTCAGGGGGACCTGAGGCTCTGCCCCCCCCCCCTCCCCTTCAGTTTACTTGAGTCCCCACAATCACTTCTGAACCCCCAATGCATGTGAAAAAGAGGTTACTTAGCCCTTGAAATGCTGCAAATTTCTCTGAACTTCTGGTACACTGGGTACCTGAACACATTACTCACTGCTCATACCCATGTTGTGCTAATTAGTATCCTGCAGTTACTACTGTTTTATCATATTTCTCCCCATGTTATGCCAGTCTGCAAGCATTGGCAGCCTTTTCACGGGAAAACACAGGAAGATTTGGAAAAAGATAGGCTGTGATATGCAGCACCTTTTCAGAGCACAGGTTGGCTTTTTACAGTACAGGAGAAAGTTTGCCCAACATTTCCATCAACACTGATAAGTGTATCTGTCGCACAACCGCGGCTGTGGTGCCGAGGGGCCGCCAATTCAATGCCAATTACGAGCCACGACGACTGTGGTAAGATATAAATAGTGACGAGAAAAAACAGTGACGAGAAATCTAGAAAATAGTGACGAGAAAGGCTACTCCAGATGGCCCCCAGCAGTCCGGGATACCCAACAGCTGAACCGGCTACAGATGGTAGGTTATTTTGTCCATTCTGCCGACGGCGTTTGAAGCCGGCCTTGAAATACAGGAAGGTTCCCTGGCTTGTCCACATAGACGTGGTTCTTTAGGTTATCCCACAGCATTGAGTCCACAGAAGACAGACAGGTCTGACTAAGGCAAAGCTCTTCATGGCAATCTTAAACTGCTGTGTGTTCCAGGAAAATGCATCTCCACCCAAACTAGTGAAGTCATGTTTTGCCAGTGAATGATTATTTGAATGTCTCCACAGTCTTAATTACGTGAGAAACATGCCTGTCACTGTTGAGTAAACATGGGTTAATTTTGTCTGGGGCACCTTGTTTAAGCAATAATTTCACATTGACACAGCCTGTTTGTTCTAACATTCTGTTTCTTTGCAAACCAGACACTGTTGTGCTGAGAACCCAAGATTTTACGACACAATCCAGAGGCATCACTGAGGGTTCCAAATATCTCTTCCCACAGAACAGAAGGGATATTTTAATGCTTTTACATGTACACAACTGGTGATTATGATAGACACATCACTCTATGCATAGGTGATATAAAGATTGTGTTGACCCCCGCCACCCCCACCCGATCGTGCAATGCCAGAGCCACATCAACGACAAGATTTGGCAGCAAAAACTTGACCTGCCACAATGCTCAGCAGGGCCCACCCTGGTCTCTGACATCACCCGACCATCAGCGGGGCCACTGCCGGGGGGACCTCACACTATCCCAATTAGGGACAGGGAACACCTGAGGCCATGTCAATACACCCAGCCACAGGGGGTGAATGGGAAAATGATGCTCCAACCACTTGAGCTATTGAACTGGCTATGGTAGTACATTTCAGAACAGGATAGCTGAATGTATGGTTCAGGGCACATATTGCATCAGTCCTTCCTAATAGCTGGCCGAGTGTCTACCTTCCAGTCCACCCACTGGTGGTGGGGTTGGCTTGAGTTTCATGAGACACCACCATCTATCCTTGCCAGGTGTTCCCTACAGCCAATGGCAGGGTCACACCTAAGGTCAGGTGATGTCAGATAGCAGAATACACCATGCCATCCACTGTGGCATTTTACAATTTTGCCACTAAATTTTGCCATACACCTGTAATGGCACAATCAGATGATAGAGGTCAGGACTCCCACAACAAGCATTGCTTAGTGTGAGCCCTTATCCCAGGTATCATTTATCTATATGGTTTAGATAACATTTTTAAAAATAAAAACCCAGTTATACAATGCAAAATGGCATCATGGTGTCAAAGAGCAAAATCATCATATTTTGTGCAGGATCTTACAGCTGTTATTTACATCTTAGATGAGAAGGTTGTGCGCCTCAGTTCCAATTTGTTCAAGGTGCATGCTGGCAGTATGCACAATTCTGTTATAGCATAAGTATGTACCTTAAAGGCCATGTCATTTTGCATAAAGCTGTCTTTTCGGGGCTTGGACCACAACTGTTGAACAACAAATTGTTGTTGATTACAGATGGATTTTCTAGGATCATTTCCTTTCAGCTACCCCCATTCTGAGCTTGGTGCAAAAAATTCAGCTTCACATTAGATTTAAACAGGAAGCCAATCCGCAGAATGAAAAAACATTGGAACCATTAATTTTTTATGGTTTCTTTGATGGCATCAGGAATAAACATTTAGGTGACCAAGACCCAGGGAGAAACTGGGACTTTGGGTAAGTAATCTCAGCCCTACCAGCTCAGATCCAAACAAATCAAGAAAATGACAACCCTGGTGGTGGTCAGACCTTGAACAGGGGGCACAAAAAGATAAGCCTACTAGGCATTCACATGACACATTATACATTTCTTCAGAGATTGAATGGGTATTAAACAATGCAAATGATTAAAGTGACAACATTAATCAAAATTGAATACAACAGTCTAGGTGGCATCAATGATTATAGTAACTATACAGCAAAGCATGTTCTGCTCTGACTCGCAATTGCCTATTTGCGGAAATTTTGCGTGCTTACCAAATGAATGACCGGAAGCTAGAACTATGAAACACTCTACGGCTCTTTAGAATAATCTCGATGCCCTCCCAACTTTTGCTCCCCTCCTCCACTCAGACACTTCCCCGTCGCAATGCTATCCTGAGCATTAGAACAACGTGCGATCACCAAGGTCTTGCACATGCTTGCCTTTGACTCAAAGGCGCCGTATTCGTAAAATACGGCCGCGTCCAAACCATCGTCAGCACGTTTGCTAGTACCAATCACGGCCCAGTATTTCCCCTACGGTATATCACTTGACCACAAAATCACGTGGGCTGATACGTCACGCACCAGCTGACGATGATGCCAGGATTATTTGTCAGCTTGTCAGCATGGGGAGAAAGCGCTACCAAATTAAAAATCACTGACTACAGCTCCGTTCGATCTGCCGCCGGCACGATTGTCAGCTGGAATACGTGACGTCATGCGCGCTGACGGTGCATTTGACGTTTGGGCTGATGGGAAAGTGTTCTAACTTTCCTTTTCCTTCTTCTTTTACCATTTACTTCAGACCACACACTAATTTTGGTTTACCACCGACCATGGGTGTAGAAACAGGGGGCCAATAGGGCCATTCCGCCCACTTTTCAGGGTGGGGGCCAGCAATGTTAATTGCCCTCCCCCCACCCAATTTTCACATTAAGGCTGTGTTTAGTTCACTTTTGCACTAAATGAAACACAAATGCCAATTTACCTAGTCCACCAGCCATCCTGCTCAAGATGCGCCATTTTTCTACCGCTCACTGGCCATCGCTTAATGTCATGACCGCAGGGCCGACGCCGCGCGGCCTACGGAGACTGCAACACCCGGGGGAGACTGCAACACCCGGCGTTGAGATTGTTGCTATAAATTGAGAGCAAACATGTTCAAAACCATATTGCATAGTCCATTGGTCCAAACCACCGGTCATCAGTTTTGACTGAATCTTTAACATTTGAGACGAACATGGATTAGCCATGTTCATACAAATTTGGGACCTCATTTCATCCACAATCTACGTTCAGAGAGTCCTGAATATATCTGAAAAGCACAAAAAAAACATGGACTTCTTTGTGACTATTATTGGACTACCTGCGGTGATCAGCGATGTTGTCACGTCAGTGAGGGTTCCTGTGCTGATCCGAGGCTAACTGCGCGGGTCAGAAAGACTCCCGTATCAGGCAGGGGAACAATGTTATATGATATATCCTTATAATGGCCTTCGGATCGGCCAGGAGATCCCGCCCCGTGTCGCCAGGCTGACAGCCAGAAGACACTTCGTGCAGGGACGGAATGGCCCTTCAGTCATTGACCGAAAGCAGTGATTTGCCCCTGGTATTCTTCTACTCAAGGGGCCCTTGCCTGGAAGGAAATAAGGCGTCTCATAATTGTCGAATTGAGTGGGTCGAAATTAGTTAAGAAAGGTCATACATGCTTGCCTGAGAACGTTCATTTTTTCCAAATGCATCAAAAGGCTCGAACTCGCCCGCCCGGAACGTTGAGAGCAAGGACAACGATGACCTGGGTTGCAGCTTCCGTAAAGCCGAACGGCTTTGGCCACTGCAAGTGCCACCAGACGGCGGACGCCTGCTAACCTGTCCTCTGGACAGATTAATAGCTGCAGAAACCCGAAAAATAGGGATTCTTTCTTTACTATCCCAGTTCCGTCACCGGGTTCCAGCACCACTTCGAGGTGCTTTAAAGGTCGATCCGTTCTTAATCCAGTCTATCCAGTCAATCTATATAAATCCAGTCTAAAAATCGCACACGTAGAATATACGCCTAGGTCGCTATCTGAATGCATGATTTGATATGCTGAAGCTTTCAAAAGTACTTCTTTCAAAACCAGCATCATTTTCGTCCACCCGTTGACCACGGCTCAACATTAGTTGCAGAGACGACACTTCGCGGCCTACGGAGACTGCAATGCCTGGCGGCGAGGTTTTTGTTACGAAGATTTGCGAGTGCGAATGCTCAAAATAACATCACATAACTTGTATCACTATTGCATTGAAGTGTTTAAACGAATTATTTCGGAAGCTTCATCATTTTTATTTACCGGTGAGCCACAGCTAAAAGTCAGCCACTGGGCTAAAGCTCCGCGGACTACGGAGACTGCAACGCCTAGTGTTGAGTCTTCTCAGTACGACTTGCGAGCGCACATGAAACCACGTTACATCATTTGTAGCACTAGTCGATTCTGACCGAATTTTGAACATTTCCAGACAACCATGGCTTGGACATGTCGATACGCATTGTTATCCACTCGATCTGCAATCAAATTTTCACCTTCAAATTTGGATCAAACATATCGAGCTAGTATCTACACTCGCGATGTCCTTAATGTTCGGAGAACCCAGAGAAAAATTCTGAAAAGCTTCTGGGCTCTACGAATTAAGAAAGAGTCCAGTAATCCATCGTAAATTAAGGACGCATGTGATTTATTCCGTGTAACCGTTCAACGCCTGATTCTGCAGTTTGACTTCAAATACAGACAAAATTGATATCATGGTAGCTTCTGGTTTCTATTCTGGTTACAAGATAAACATAACATTAAAACGAAGAAAACCGCGTCCCCTGTCAACAAGTTAACTGCACCCAGGATATTTTGGGGGAAGGGGGTCACCATAAGAGGGGCTTTTTCAACATTGTGTTCCCCTTGTCAAGGTTCTGGCTACGCCCCTGCCTTCACACAACAGTAGATCAAGTCGTCCACGCTGAGTGGTGGGCAATCAGATGTCCATTGGGCCAATTCATTCACAAGGCAGGTAGCTTCTCGCACGTTTTTTCCTGCGGTGGCGTGGTGTAAGGGGAGATAATTCGGAAAAGGTGCTGTTGTAGGCGTTCAACATATGTTTTACACCAATCAGTAGTAATGCTTATCCAGAAATATGCAACAAAGCAGTCATACCATCAGTTCGCAGTTACTCATGCGAGAAACAGCCAGACCAGGACAGCGGACGTCGACGGCGGACAGGAGCAGGACCCAGGTAAGGAATATATGATAGAATGGCCTTCATTCCGTGGCTTATTTTTTGAACGAGAAGCTCCGTTTTATAGTTTTTGACTAATTTTATTTGGCGGTTACAAGCTTCCAAGTTTGTTTTCGCCTAAAATGCTGCGACAGGTCTCGTCGAACTGTGAGCCATCGATTCACTCCCAAAATTCTCACCAGCCTATATCCAGACCGTGTTTTGCCATCTATCCGGTGGAGGCAGATACCTCCTGAATGACCCAAAAAGGCCTACCCGCTTGTGGAATTTCGCCTCTCCAGGAAGGACAATGTTGAAATGGATGAATAATCCGTGCTCACCGCAGTCAAAGCCTGGTCATGAACACCGTCGACGTTCGTGTCTCGTCGGTAACGACGATCGATTTGTCAAAGGCGTTCGATAGCGTCGAGCACAACGTTCCCCTCACCAAACCGTCTTGGTATGGCGTTACCGATGTGAGATGAATTAGGAGTTTTTTTAGCAGTCGAGGGCGACTGGTCCGTGGGGGACGGCTCACTCTCCTCATGTCCTGTGGTGTACCCTAGGGGTCGATCATGGGACCAACTTTGTTCATTTTGTTTTCCAACGATCTATATGGGTACTTGACTCATGGCCACCGCATCTCCTAGGCTGACGGACACCATGCCTGTGGACTGCGTGCCCCCTGACGAACCGGGTCTCGCCGACCTCAAAATTAGACTGGAACTTACCTTGCGTGAGCTTCAGAACTGGTTCAGTGCTAATTTTCTCCAAATGCAGGGCACAAAAACTGATTTTATGCTCGATGGCTCAAAACCAAACTTAAGAAGTCAGCTGACTTCCACTTTACTGCACAAAAATTAAAACAACAATCAACTTTTCTGCAAGAGTAATCACCGGCTCCCAAAAGCACCATCACACAACTCTGGCTCTAAATTCCCTTGGATGGCCGAGGATCGAGGTCATGATGGCGCACCGCGACGTAATTAAGGTGTTTAAGGCACTGGAGGAGGTGACGCACCTCACGAGGTCCACGCGCTTTTTACCCCGCGCGCCGCCGTTTCGACCTGTGAAACGCACGCCTCGTACAGAGGTAGTCTGCACCTGCACAGACACCGAGCGACTGCCACACAGAGGGCGTTTTTGTATCGAGCCGCAGCTGCCTGGGACCGCCCGCCAGCTCGCGTCCGTCATGCCACAACACTGAGCGCGTTTAAGGCCGCCACACGCTATGTGATCTGAACCACTGACAGTGGATCTGATCCGGCTCGCAGTGCCTTGATAGGTCTGTTTTGGCTCTTTGACCATTGTTCGTAGCATTGTATGTCATACCTTTTGTGCGTGTGTTTTCGTACTAAACTACTAGATTATACTATGTCCCGATGCGCAATAGCCGTTCCCTGACTGTTGACTGTTGAAGCTACCGGCGTGTGTCCCGGCCGGCCTGGGCAGCGTGTGTTTCCTGTTGCTGCAGGTCCGTCCGGACAACAACACCCGCTGCCACCGCCGGTCCGGCACCGCGGCCGCTCGTGCCTGTCGGCCTCTGTGACAGCGGTGATGCCGGCGCGTTTCGTGATCAGTTGTGCGCTGTAACCGGCGGTATGGTTGGTCGTTGCGGACGTCCAATGGCCGTGGATTTTGGTATCCTGATGTTCCAATTATCATCATTCAAGGTGACATTGATATCAGGATTTTTGGATGGAAGATACTTCACTCGCTGGCGAGCATTCTGAGGCTAGAAAATACGAAATCGGCCGGTAAAATGTGATGTTGATGTCTGTACGGCAGCCAGGGTAACACTGTGTCATTTGTGCGCTCAGGGTATTAATGGCGAGCCACCTTCTCTCAGCGATCGCGACGTTCTCCGGACGGAGGATCTTCTCGGTAAAAATATCATGCGGATAGCCGCAGACGGCGACCCTGGGCACGGTGACGTCCTGTCGGGGCGTGTAGGAGAGCGTCATGGATACGGACTCGCTGAGGTACAGCTGCAGCAGCTGCAGACACTGGTAGCTGGCCAGCACGGCACAGCAGAGCACCAGGAGGCGGCGGGCGCCGGCCGGCGGGGTCGGGAGTCAGCACGCCGACCGGACCATGGTGGCCGGGGAAGAGA